ACACCATCCTTGGAGCTCACCCCAGCCACAGAAAACCACCTTTTCCTGCAACAGCCCAGTTCCAGTCCCAGGGCAGGCTCTCATTGGCCCACTTGGGTCACATGGTCATACTGCAGCCAATCCCCATCTCTGGGAAATGAAGTTATTTGATTGGCCAAGCCTGGGCCACGTGATACATAATGGAGGGAGCAGTCCAGTCCTGCGGAAGCACGTGGCCTGAAAGTGACAGATGAGGTGATTTTCAGCACCTGAAGGTGGAGGGGAAGGGGCGCCCCCGGAGGGAGGCACAGCCGTGTCAAAGACCTGGAGTCTGGGCAGAGGGGGAAAAAAGCAAGGGGTCTCCTCCAGGAATTCCAGACAATGCCCTGGGCACTGGGTGCCTGCAGGAAACAGATTCTGAGCGCGCACAAGAAGTGGGCTCAGAATGAGGACCAGGTGAGCAGCGGCAAAGGAGGGGCCCGAGTGGTGACTCCAGCCGGGGAGAGTCCCAGTGGCCCATGCTGGTGCCCAGGGACAGATGGACAGCCCCAGGGACCGAGGGGTCCAGGGATCGGTGCGGCAGGGGAGGAGAGGCTCCACCCAGTCCATGCAGGAAGTTGAGGTGTCCTGGGACCACGTGTCCAGGCCTGAGGGATCATGGGAGGCCACCGAGAGGACACAAGCTGCTTTGGGACATTTCTTTTTAAATTAGATTGAATTACCAAAGCAGCTTTACTGAGGTATAGTTGAAGAAATGTACATATGCAATATTTGCTTTTTTTTTTTTTTTGAGACGGAGTTTCACTCTTGTCCCCCAGGCTGAAGTACAATGGCTCGATCTCAGCTCACTGTAACCTCTGCCTCCCGGGCTCAAGCGATTCTCCTGCCTCAGCCTCCCAAGTAGCTGGGATTGCAGGCATGTGCCACCACGCCCGGCTAATTTTGTATTTTTAGTAGAGTTGGGGTTTCTCCATGTTGGCCAGGCTGGTCTCAAACTCCTGACCTCAGGGGATCCGCCTGCCTCGGCCTCCCAAAGTGCTGGGATTACAGGTGTGAGCCACTGCTCCTGGCTAATTTTTGTGTTTTTAGTAGAGACGGGGTTTCACCACATTGGTCAGGCTGGTCTCAAACTCTGCCTGGGGTTCCCAAGGTCCTTGGATTACAGGCATGAGCCACCACACCCAGTCCAATATCTGCAATTTGATGAGTTTGCACATATGCAGTCACCACACTCAAGATGACAGACCTACTCATCCTTCCCAAGGTCCTTTGTGTCCCACCATTTTTATTCTTTTGTGATGAGAACCTTACTGTGAAATCTACCCTGTGAACAGAGTTCGAACTGCACGGTACTGCACTGTTCACTGTTAACACGGCAGATCGAGGCATTCCTGAACCCTCAAGGCCGTAAAACCGTGGAGGAAATGGAACCTAACGGACCCACATCTGAGCCTCAGTCTCCCCTCTCATCCTGATGCTGCCTCAAGCAGGGGGTCTAGTCTGAAAAGCAGAGTTGGGGGACTTGGCTGACCCTTGTCAGGGTCCAGGCAAGGGCAGGGGAATGTACAGAGCTGGGACCCCGCCCGATGGGGACCCCAGGAGCCTCTGAGCCTCAGCAGCCACCCCCTCCACCTACACCGGGTGTCTTAGGCTGAGCTCCCAGCCTCCTCCTAGGGACATCCAGAGGACAGAGGTGGGACAGTAGGGAATAAAAATTGGGGGTGGGGAGGCAGCCCTCCACATCTTCATCCCCACTTCTGCCAATCCCTCAAGCTGTAGAGCCCCGACGCGGGGTGCAGTACCCCAGATATGCTGTCCTGGCAGGGCACAGGGGCTGCAGGTACTCTTTCTATAGAACTCAGTGCTAACTGTGCACTCCCTGCTGTATACATTCTCTACAGGATGCTGTGACTGCTGTGTGCACTCTTCTGAAGGTGCCATATCTACTGTATACACTTTGCAGGGCAGAGTCTAGTATATGCATTTCTGCAAGATGCAGCACCTGCTGTATACCCTTCCTGCAGAGCATAATGTCTGCTGTGTGTGCTCCTTGTGGGCGCTGTGCCTTCTGCACACCTTCCCAGCAGGGCACAGCGCCTGCTGTATACCCTTCCTGCAGGGCACAGAGCCTGCTGTCTGCACTCCCAGAGGAACTCTGTGGGCTGACATCTGGGAATGAGGCACATCTGAGGAGGATGCGGTTGTCCTAATGACACATGCCCTGGGCTTTTTTTTTTTTTTGGCGGAGACTCTCTGTCCCCCAGGCTGGAGTGCAGTGCAACCTTCACTCCCGGCTAATTTTTGTATTTTTAGTAGAGACGGGGTTTCACCATGTTGACCAGGCTGGTCTTTAACTCCTGGCCTCAGGTGATCCTCCCACCTTGGCCTCCCAAAGTGCTGGGATTTCAGGCGTGAGCCCCCATGCCTGGCCTGAGCTGACATTTCTCACCCCCTCCAGGCCCTGTACACAGTAGGTGCCCCCTAGAGGCTTTCTGCTCGTCAGCCCCCATTTCCCTTCCTCCCTCTTGTCTTCATCCCCCTTCAAACACGTTTCACTCTCCCACCCCAAAACTGCTGGTCCAGGTCACGGACTGCCTCCGCAGGCCGGTGTGAGGGTCCATTCTCCACCCTCCTCTGGCTGACCTCAAGGCAGCATCTGCCGCAGTCCCCTCTGCCGTCCTCGAAGAAGCCTTGACCTCCTTCCGGGACCCCAGATGCACCTGGTTCTCTTCCTCTCATCCCGGCTTCTGATATTCAGGCTCCCCCAGCTTCATCGACGACTCTAAACACCCGCTGTGTGCCAGCAACACCCATATCCCCTTCTGCAGCCAGACCTGGCCTCCGACCCCAGCCTCGCCCTCCTGCTCCCCCCTGGCCTCAGCCTGCCCATCTCAGGCCGTGGGGCCCACTCTCCACCCAGCCGCCTCTTCCCACTCCAGCTCCTCAAATCCATCAGCAGCTCCTGCAGCCTCTGCTCCCAGACGGGGCTGGCCACCACCCCCTGTTCTCACCTGTGCCATCCCGGGCACACCCCCTGGCCCTCAGGAACCCCTGCTGCCTCCTCCCCGCCTTCCTACCGCCTACCCCATCCCCGCAGCAGTCAGGGGTGGCTTTCCCCACTTTCCCTCCCACGGGGGCTTAAACCCCTCCCATGACTCACCCCAGGCCCCCTCTGACCTCATCTCCACCTCCCCCCCACATACCATGTCACTTGCTCCACCACCCAGAGCTCCTGACTGTCCCTTAGTCCCTTATTTTAGCCTCTGGGACCTGAGCTGCCTGTCTCTCTTTTTCGTTTTTTGTTTTTTTAGGTTTTGTTTGTTTGTTTTTGAGAGAATCTTGCTCTGTCGCCCAGGCTGGAGTGTAGCAGTGCAGTCTTGGCTCACTGCAACCTCCACCTCCCAGGTGCAAGCGATTCTTATGTCTGTCTCTCAAGTAGCTGGGATTTCAGGCACCCGCCACCGCGCCCGGCTAATTTTTGTATTTTTACTAGAGACAGGGTTTCACCATGTTGCCCAGGCTGGTTTCAAACTCCTGACCTCAGAAGATCTGCCTGCCTCAGCCTCCCAGAGTGCTGGGATCACAGGCATGAGCTGCAGCCCCGGCCTGTCCTTCTCTTCAATGAGGCCCTTACTGACACCCCGCAAACCACACCACCCGCCGGGGCTATCTGCGGTGGGCCTGGGCTATTTTCTCCAACGGTCCAGATGAGAAGATGGGATTCTATACTCCGCAGGCTGCCTTAACCGCTCGCCTGGGCCTGGCTGGGTTGTTCACAGTTTTGCACAGAGTAGGTGCTCAGTAAATGGCATATGGGTGGCTCTGCTGTGACATGGTACTGGCTGGAGGGCAGATTGAGTTGGACCGGCAACGCCCCGTATGTCCCCAGCAAACCTCTCTCTCTATGATCAGCGCTGTAAACACCCGCTGTGCCAACGACATACATGTGGGACAGCAGAGTGGGCTTCTTGGAGGAGGGGGTGCTCAGGCTGAGCCTGGGTGGAGCTCAGGGAGCCAAAGGGCAGTACCCCACCCTTCCTTTAGTGCCCCAGCCCCTCAGCCCGCCCGCCAGAAGCTGGTGGAGCCCAGAACCCCACGGCCTGGTCTCAGCCCTGTGTGGGTGGGCACGGCGCGGCGCACAGACACCCAGTGGGAAATGGCGGGAAAGGGTGGGGTGGGGAGAGTCCCGGGGTGCCCCTCGCATTGCTGGTCCGCGCAGAGTGGATTCCAGATGGAAGGTTCTCGGTGGAGGCCCCTGCCGGCCCCACAGCTGGGATGGGGAAACTGAGGCCAGAGACGGTGGGGCTGCGGCTGCGAGGGAGAGGGACCGCCTGGACCCGGGTCTGGCTGTGAAGCCCGGCTGGCAGCCCCGGGGCCCCGCAGGGAGGGCGGGAGGCGGGTGGGGCGCGTCCCCTGGTGACAGCAGCGCCCGGGAATGCGCCAGCTGGGAGGGTCTCTCCACCCCCCGCGCGCGGCCCCCGGAGCCGAGCTTCTCCCAGTGCGCGGGGGCCCTGTGCTGGGGGTGGCCGGGACCTGGGGCGGGGAACCCCCGGGTGGGAGCCCCAGGCGCGCGGGGGTCCCCATCCACGAGTGGGGCGACCCCCCCCGCAGGAGGGGTGGGGGGCAGGACCAGGGGAGGGGCTGTGACCGGAGACGGGAACCCCGGCGGGGACGCAATCCAGGCGTCGGCGGGTGGGGGCAGCGCCCGGGACTCCCAGGCCCAGGGCGGGGTGATCTCGGTTCGCGCACATTCCCGGGCCCTGAGAGCGGCGCCCGGAATAGCAGCCCCGGGGCAGAGCGGGCGGTCAGTCCCCGCGCCGCGCCTCCGCCCGAGCGTGCCAAGGTCACCGGGGCCGGGCGCTGCACAGCGGCCGGTGACTGCGGGGCCCCTGCGCTCGCGCGCGCCGGGCACTCCCCTGCCGCAGATCCGCTCCCGCCGCGCGAGGGCGCCCGGGGCCGCCGCCCCTCCTAGCCCCGGCCTGGGCGCGCCCGCGGAGGCCGCAGTGGGAGGGGCCGTCCCAGGCTCCCCGCGCCCTGCACCTCGGGCCCCGCCGCTTCCGCCCGCCCTGAGGCCGCTCAGGGAGCCGGGACGCGCTACCTGGGCTCTGCGCAGCCGGTAAGTCCCTCTTGCTATCCTCCCGCTTCCTCCGGGGGAAACTGAGGCCCAGAGGTGCGCCTTGCCCCGAGATCCCACCGCCAGTCCGGGGTGCAGCCCACACGGGGAGGGGAGAGCCTTGGTTCTGGGGAGGGCTCACTGTGGAGGGGGAGGGTGGTCTTTGTGGCCCCTTACTTTTCATCACCCAGACCCCTGCTCCTCAAGCCAGGCTCAGAGTCTGGTGGGCTTGTCAGAAGGTCAAGCTTCCTCCCTCTGTGTTTTGTTTTTTGTTTGTTTGTTTTTGAGACAGAGTCTCCCTCTGTCACCCAGGGTGGAGTGCAGTGGCCCGATCTTAGCTCACCGCAACCTCTGCTTCCCGGGTTCAAGCGATTCTCCTGCCTCAGCCTCCCGAGTAGCTGGGATTACAAGCGTGCACCACCACACCCGGCTAATTTTTGTATTTTTAGTAGAGACGGGGTTTCACTATATTGGCCAGGCTAGTCTCAAACTCCCGACCTCAGGAGATCCACCTGTCTTGGCCTCCCAAAGTGCTGAGATTAGGGGCGTGAGCCACCACACCTGGGCCCCCCTCCACTTGTTTTAAATTTCTGGTTCCGACTTCTTCCTGCTTCCTGGGCCAGCCCAGGCTCTGAGCTCAGACAGCAGCACGGACGCAGCTGGCCACCCAGCCGTCTCAGCACCTGGAAACACCCGGGACCCCGGACACTTGGTGCCCCAGAGGTCCAAATGCTCGAGCCAGTGGGGCCTGAGAGCCAGGGAAATGGGGTCAAAATGGGACCCAGCCTCCTCCCCAGCTGGTGCCCCGACCAGGGCTCACCCGCCTGCCTGCCCTTCAGGCTCTGCTGGCACGGGAAGCCCTAGCTCACTGGGCGGCCACTTCCCTTCCCTCCCCTTTCTCCCTGCAGGCTGGGGTCACGAGGAGGGTGTGGATGGCAAGTGACTTCATCCCTGCCCCGACAGATGGAGAAACTAAGGCTCAGAGAGGCCGTCAGCCTCCTCCCCTTCCCTCCACGGCCGCTCCCAGCGGCTCAGTCCCACCCCCTCCGCCGATGAGGCCATGAGGCGCCGACTGGACCGGGGTCAGGTCACCCCTTTCTGCCCCACCCCCAATCCGGAGGACTCCCTGCCGTCTGGGAGCCGAGGGAGCCCTGGGCCCAGGGTGCAGCTGGGGGCCTCTGCCAGGGACCCAACTCCTGACCCAGCCTCTGCTGGCTGCACCTCCTGCAGGGTCTCACAGAATCATGGACTGAGCCCACCCGGCCCCCACTGCACAGATGGGGAAACTGAGGCCTGAGAGAGTGGAGTGGCTGGCCTCAAGCCACACAGAAAGGTAGAAGCCGGGATGGTGGGGAGGGCATGGAGGGGCCCCAGCCCTGGGGGTCACCTGTGTCCTATTTGTGAATGATGTCACCAATCATCAAGCATCGATTAAGCACCTACTGTGTGCATTATAGCACAATACACAATCAATAATAACTTCAATCTGGGGGCAGTGGTTCCTGCTTGTAATCCCAGCACTTTGGGAGGCCGAGGCGGGAGGATCACGAGGTCAGGAGTCAGAGACCAGCCTGGCCAAGATGGTGAAACCCCGTCTCTACTAAAACTACAAAAATTAGCCAGGCCTGGTGGTGGGCACCTGTAATCCCAGCTCCCGGGAGGGTGAGGCGGAGGATTACTTGAACCCGGGAGGGTTGCAGTGAGCCAAGATTGCACCACTGCACTCCAGCGTGGATGACAGAGTGAGTGTCCGTCTCAAAAAGAAATAACATTAATAATTTTAGATGACAGTTGCGTTCTTCTTCTCCATCCGGTGTTCCATACCTCCTGTCTTTTTTACCTGATCCACAGAACCCCTCAACTTTCCCACAAGGGGGGGCTCTGTTACCCCATTTTTCAGAGAGGAGAGGTGGGGCTCAGAGAGGTTTAGTTACTGACCCGGATCACACAGCCAGTCAAGGCAGAGCCGGGACACAACGCCGTGTCTCTGGCGGTGGCTGCCTGGACCCGGCCCCTCTGCTCCCCAGGCCCCGCCTCTTCCAGAACCTCCTGCTCTTCCTGTGGGCCCTGCTGAACTGTGCTTTGGGGCTCAGTGCTCAGGTAAGGGGGGGCATGAGCCCGGGGGGTGGTGAGTGAGAATGGGGACCCAGCTGCAGTGTGGGGTCACCAGCATCCCCCTGCCAGGCTGACCGTGCCTCTGTCTCCCCAAGTAGGGTCCGGGTGAGTGGACCCTGTGGGTGTCCTGGACCCGCTGCTCCAGCTCCTGTGGGCGGGGCGTATCTGTGCGCAGCCGGCGGTGCCTGCGGTGAGCGGGCCGGGAAGGGGTCCCTGCACCCCCCTCCCTGCCCAGCCCGGCCCCTGGCCGCACCCTCGGCTTGCCCACACATGCTGTGCCCTTTAATCCCGCTGATCCCGCTGGAATGCAGGCGGGGTTGGCGGGGGTGGAGGGTGGAAGGCCAGCCCCGGGAGGGGGTCCCTGGGGGGTTCTCTCCACACTGTGGCTCCCTGCAGGCTTCCTGGGGAAGAGCCATGCTGGGGAGACTCCCACGAGTACCGCCTCTGCCAGCTGCCAGTAAGCCCTGCCCACCTCCCAAACGCCCTCCCCACCCCAGGCTGCCCAGAAGCCCACACCTGTCCCTGGGGTTGTCCCAGCCTCTGGCTCTCCTATCTCTGCCCCCAGGACTGTCCCCCAGGGGCTGTGCCCTTCCGAGACCTACAGTGTGCCCTGTACAATGGCCGTCCTGTCCTGGGCACACAGAAAACCTACCAGTGGGTGCCCTTCTATGGGGGTGAGTAGCCTGGTCTCCTGTGGTCAGGATTGGGCCAGAGGGAACAACTCATTACTCCCAGGGAGAGGGACTTGGAGTGTTGCAAAGAGAAGAGGGTATTAGCACTAGGGCTTTGAAGAATATGTAGGAGTTGGTGAAAAGAAACAGAAACAGCATATGTTAGGGTGGAACACGGGCAGAGGGAAGCAGGGTCCATTCTCCACAGGGCTGAACACCGGACTGAGGATTTACTTAGAGCTGTATCCAGAGGCCAGCAGTTCTCAAACTTATCCCAGTAGCAGGAAATGTTGCTGCATTGAGCTGAAAATAGCCAGTTATATAACTGTGTGCCTGGGGCAGTGCGTCTCCAGATTTCAGGGAGACAGGCAGCTTCACACGCCATGGGGAAGGCAGTCACAGATACAAGAAAAGCCTAGAACAGAGAAAGTGCCATCCTTCCACCTCATTTCCTTCCCTCTCTTCCTTCCTTCCTTCCTCCTTCCCTCCCTCCCTCCCTCCTCCCTCCCTCCCTCCTTCCTCCTTCCCTCTCTCCCTCCCTCCCTCCCTCCTTTCCTCCTCTCCTTCCCTCCTTCCTCCTTCCCTCTCTCCCTCCCTCCCACCTTCCCTCCTTCCCTTCTTCCTTCCCTGCCTCCCTCCCTCCTTCCTTCCTTTCTTCCTTCCTTCCTTCCTTCTTGCTCTGAGAATTGGAGGAAACTTGCTGGGTCCGGCCCCACAGAGGCCCACTAAGGCAAGTCCAGCGTCTGTTCCAGGCAGGGTCTACCACACAGGCTCAGGGAAATGGGAGCCAGAAGAAGGTGGAGCTGGAGGAGTAGGGGTCAGGGCTGTCAGCCTGAGTGTGTGATCAGACAGCCCATTTTGCCCCACTTCCAGATAGAAGGGGAAACTGAGGCCCAGGGAGGACCAGCGACACACCTCAGTTGCATGAGACTCAGTCAGTATACTGGATAAACACATCATTGGGCACTTGCTGGTTGCTTGGGTGAGGTTTTTTTTTTTTTTTGGAGATGGAGTCTTGCTCTGTTACTCAGGCTGGAGTGCAGTGGCACCATCTTGGCTCACTGCAGCCTCCACCTCCCTTGTTCAAGCGATTCTCCTGCCTCAGCCTCCTGAGTAGCTGGGACCACAGTCACATGCCACCACACCTGGCTAATTTTTTGTATTTTTGGTAAAGACGGGGTCTCGCCATGTTGCCAAGGCTGCTCTTGAACTCCTGGGATTAGGAGATCTGCCCACCTCAGCCTCCCAACATGCTGGGATTACAGGTGTAAGCCACCGCACCTGGCCACCTTTAAGGCTACCCATCTGCACACTGATTGAGTTCTTGCTTCCGTATTCTAGAGCTTAGAACAGTATCTGGAAAACAGGTGTTCAGTGGAATCAAGTATGAGTAATGGTGTTAATAATTAATACTATGTAAGGACTCCTAATAAAAGACTACGAATGAATGAATGCAGCCCCAGGATACTTGCCTGGGAGTCCTAGGTTGCTGGAGGCAGAGCACCTATGGTCCAGTCCTGGCTCTGCCTCAGCCTCGATATGTGGCCTTGGCTGAATCTCTGGGCTTCATCTGCCCAAGGCGATGGTTGCCTGACAGACCTTGGTATAGGGAGACTGGAACTTGAATAGGAGTCCCAGGCCCACTGACTCCTCCCGCCCTCAGCACCCAGCCAGTGTGACCTCAACTGCCTGGCGGAAGGGCACACCTTCTACCACAGCTTCGGCCGCGTCCTGGATGGCACCGCCTGCAGCCCGGGTGCCCATGGGGTCTGCGTGGCTGGCCGCTGCCTGGTAAGGACTCGCCGGGCCCAGTCTGAGCCCTGCCTACCTCCCATTCAGGCTCCTCCCTAGGCTCCACCCATCATCAGGCTCCACCCACACAGGACCCACCTATCCATAGGCTCCCCTTCCAGGCCCCGCCCATCACTAGGTCCCGCCCCCAGCCACCTTTAGGCCCCACCCCTTGGACACCACGCCCATCTCCATCCAGGCCCCGCTCCTCCCTAGGCTCCGCCCCCATCTTCCCTCCAGGCCTCGTCCTTTTACTCCCACGCTCTGCCCTTTCCCCAGGTCCTGCCCCTTCCAGCGTCAGTCACGCCGCGCCTGTCCTTCACCCTTTAGAGCGCCGGCTGTGATGGGTTGCTGGGCTCCGGCGCCCTCGAGGACCGCTGCGGCCGCTGCGGAGGCGCCAACGACTCGTGCCTATTCGTGCAGCGCGTGTTTCGCGACGCCGGTGACTGCCCGCCCCGTCCTCCCTGCGCACATGTCAGAGCGGGCCCTTTAACAAGCCGTGGCCCAGAAGCAAATTTCCGTGCTGATTGGCTAGCATGCGGCCCAGCCCCCCGTTCTCTTCATCCTGATTGGCTAGTGACAGATTGTCCCACCCTCCCCAGAACAGATGGGGTTGTAACGCTTTCCCTGCCGCACCGAAGCGATAGTAACTGTAACTCTTAACGTCTACGGAGGGTTTTCGGTTCCCAGGACCCTGGCTAGCTGTCTTACCCGCAGGAGCTCATTTAATCCTCGAGTCATCGCTCAAATACACCCCCACTGGCACCCCAACACCCTCTTACCCTCCCCGCCAGGTGCCTTCGCTGGGTACTGGAACGTGACCCTGATCCCCGAGGGCGCCAGACACATCCGCGTGGCGCACCGGAGCCGCAACCACCTGGGTATCCTCGGGTGTGATGTGGAAGGCACCTGGCCGGCCGGGGGGTGTCCCCGTTTACAGATGGGGAGACTGAGGCCTGAGGAGGGGACCCCAGGGTCTGGGAGACGAGACAGGCTCCTGAGGACTGACTGTTCCCTTGCAGCACTGATGGGGGGCGATGGGCGCTACGTCCTCAACGGGGACTGGGCAGTCAGCCCGCCAGGGACCTACGAGGCGGCCGGCACGCATGTGGTCTACACCCGCGACCCAGGGCCCGAGGAGACGTTGCGCGCAGCCGGCCCCACCTCCGACGACCTGCTCCTGCAGGTGCCACCTGGCCTCCAAGAGGGTCAGAGGGGGGCTGGTGAGAGAGGGGGTGTAGTTGGGGAGAAGGTCAGAGAGGTGAGGCTGGTGACAGAGGGTGTCGGCTGGGGACAAACATCAGCAGTGAGAGGCTGGGGACGGGGTCGGCTGGGAACAGAGGGTCAGACGGGGTCGGCCGGGGACAGAGCATCAGAGGGGGAAGGCTGGTGACAGGTTCGGAGAAGGGAGGTTGGGGACAGGGTCAGAGGGGGGAGGCTGGGGACAGGGTCAGAGGGGGAGG